CTTTCCTTATTTAAATGTTTTATTTTATATTTTACATGATAAAATATCTTATTTTATTTTTTTGTTTATCATAAGTAATTGAGAAGATATAATTTTATAAATTAAACATAAAAATAAATAAAGATATAAAAATTTCAGCAGTATTAATATTTTTATATGAAAGGAGAGTACAAATTTTTAGAGTTTTCATGACTATTCGGGAATTGTTTTATTTCTATATCTTCTTACATGTTTTTGTTCTTATGGAAACCGAAAATTATCAATAATGATGCTACAATCAAGAAAAAATTGGTACATTGATATAAAATTAACAAAATCTTTATTTACGTAATAAAATCTTTATTTGTTTCGAAATCGCTCAGTTATGCTTTAATAATTTAAAAACTGATTTAGAGTTAGATCAATATACAAAATTACACTAAGAGAGAATGAGAATATTACAAATCTAAGAAAAGAGTTAAATAAAGCCAATAGTTTATCAATTAGAAAAGAAACCTTTATTCAAAAGATATTCCAGTTATTTGATTTTAAACTACAATTTTATTTCCCTATAATAGTAGTTAAGCTAGGCCGGTTCTTTAACCACTATGTGTTGGTTTGGTTTGCTTTTATTCCTCCTGTTTGGACGTTTTTAAACGGGCCATAGTATCCACACAATAAATATGTGTATTCGACTTCTTCGGGGGAGAAGAGATCACACTTTTATTCACTTTCAATATTAGACCTTAATAAGGGGATTCAAAAGTTGTCTGTATAATTGCTATGATTTTTGTACCATATATTTACAATTACTTTTTTCATCTTTTACAGAGGAAATCCTTTTCCAGGATTAAAGTTGGCGTATACATTGACCATGTCGTCTAGGGAGACGCCTTAAAGCTGATGAACATACTTGCAATATATCTAATTTTTTTTCATGTTACTGTGCTAACCCATTTATAATCATAGGTGATTTTCGTAGATTTTTTCATGCCGAATTCGAATCCGTAGCCAAAATTGCTTCATCACATCATGTTTACGAGATATTTCAATCTAAAAATGCCCAAAATAGGCCTTTTTGGCACTTTTGGATTACATTATCTTGGAAACCTGACGCGATAGAGCAATTTTGGGTACGGATTTAGTTTTAGCATGCCGAAAACCTTCGGGATTAAATACTGCCGTCTGGATCAAAATTCATGTCGGTCTGCGTTATTAAGCCCTTCAAGTTTAGTCGTTAGCCATTCGGAAATCTCATCAAAAAGCTTCTAAATGGGATGTAGTATTCTATTTTTTTCCAATCTTGAATCTTGCGAGTCTTGCACTAATGCTGTTTCTGCTCACATCTTTCATTTTCAATTTTAAGTCCCTAGAAGCCTGGGATGAGTGCCCTATTTGCACTAAAAGCGCATCTATCCATTTCAAGATTAATAAAAAGAAATTTATTTTCGAACAAAACTGGACTTGTTTCTTTCTGCACTCACTGATTCAATTATTATTTTTTTAACTTTTGTTTCGAAATGTATTAAAAAATCTGTGTTATTATTTAATGTCTTTTATTTTTTAAATCTGTATTTGTTTGTTATTAACTACCACTTTTAAATTATCACTTATATTTTTTTAATATATGCATTATTAATACATCACCTGATAAGACGGCTTCATTTTATAATTAAACATGTGAATTTCCGGGTTGTAAAATATCTTCTTCATATCTTTTAGCAATACCTTAAGCGAACATAATTCTGTGTGATTTGCGTATCTGTCATGATCATACGCAGTGATATCTAATATCCATTCCTGAAAAGAAAATAATTATCGGAAATTAATCGAAGCATTTTGCTCCATCTCCTGCGATAAGCAATGCTATTTAATGACTATATTTACACGGCTCGATTTACATCAAAGCTATAACATTGATGTTATGAAACTGACCAATCATAGCTGTTCCTCTGAAGAATGGAATGACTTAAATGAATGGAATGACTGAAATGAATGAAATGAATATGATCGGCCAATTTTTCCTAACACTGATATTATTGTATAACTTCGGCATAAATCGAGCCGTGTAAACATAATCATAGAGTACGGAATACGATTTACGTGTATTGACTTGTATTGACTATCTAATCATAGATGTTTTCAGGTCGGTACTTATAGCTGGATCTTATGTATATCTAAGACCGTCTTAAATAGGGGAGGCTCTGGGGCTGGTTGTAACAGTTTTCGAATTATTTTCATAATGACACTCCAGTTATATTCTTGAAAGATTCACGTAACCTGCGATTCATGTAACATGCGTGTAAAAGTCATGTAACATGCTTGTAAGATTCGTGTAACATGGGTGTAAGATTCATGCAAGTCTTGATTTACCTATAGGTATCGTATGCGATATATTCTTATACGATCTTGTATGTTCCTGTCCGAAATTCGTATGTGAAAATTTTCTTGGAAGATGTCACAAGAATTTTTCTTGTAAAAATTTGCAACAGGGAAACATTTGTTCTGAATCACGTTATATGTTTATATATTGATTATACATATAATATAGGTATTAACTTCTTAACAATCAATCCCGTGTGACAACCGGTCCGGTCTCCCCTATAGTCTTAAAACGTCATAACTCTACAACTGTATTAGCATCTTAAAACATTACTTAAGACCATTTAAAAATAAGGAACGAACTATGAATACTGGCCTTAATATCTTGCATAATAAATTAGCAACGCGCGTACTATTAAATCCTCACGAGATATTAATTTATAATGTATATATCGTACAATTAGGTACATTCATAGAAAATACAAATTATAAATGAATGAACTATATAATGTTAATGCCAATAAAGAGCTGATACCGAATGTACATGTATGCAGGGTAGGGAAATAACGTGTTACTTATTACCGTTTTCGTTTTCTTTTCGGTAAAGAGTGTTACTTTTTTCTGTTTGTAACTTACCTTGTAGAATTAATTTATATCGAAATATTAAATTATATAGTAATATATATATATATATGTTTTTTCAAATATATAATATTCTGTATACTAAAGAATTTACCTTAGCTTCCTGTGGCTTTGTGTTTGCAATAGCAAAAGTCTCTTTGTAAATCGGACTGGCGGTATGCTTGATGCCCCTTGTTCTAAAACTATGCAATTTTTGCCGCTTTTTGTAGCTCCATGACTGTTTCATAATATTCACTGCAACGTAAGGTTCCAATGTACCGTTATATTGTTTGGGAGGAAGGCCACACAGCGCCTAAAACAGATAAATGTAGAATGTGTGTATTTCATTTTTATTACGTGATTACATTTTAATCAGAATAACAAATCACGTAAATAATTAATGGATCAATATAAAACATTTTTAATATTTATGTTATTATTAGTAAAATTTTCTTATAATAACTTCATGTATAAGATACCAATAACGCACTTCAATACCGATAACGAGCTTTCCGGGGATAATATTATCACAGGGCGGCAAATATTGCAAGCTCATTGTCAATTCGATCGGAAACTCTTTCACCTTTTTATCATTTTTCTGTTTATCTGGATAAATCAAATTCTGTAATTTTCAGAAGAGTAAATTAATTGCCAAATGGTGCAATGACATGATGAAGCTCTTGTTAACTGTGCATAATTACCAGTGTAGAAGAACAGTCCATATTCTTATACTGAGCAGTGATAGAATTGAACGAGTTTCTCTGAGATTCTGCATTCTCACTAATAGTACCTGCATAGCATGATATTCCATTTTATTGTTCCGCTAAAAATTAATTTCTTGATCGATGATAGACATTGATCTTTGACTTTAAGAAAATTTCTTATGATTTTTTGGCACTTTTTGTCAGTCACATTTTAAATGTATACGATCAGATTTAAATTTTAACAAAATTAAATTAAATATGAGAAGAGCGCCACTTTCAGTCAAAGTTAAATGTTAAATGTTAATACATGTAATATTTCACATAGCGTAATATCACGATAATATCGCAATAATATTGCAATATGCCAGAAATATTACGTATTACAATATAATATCACAGAAATATTACTGATGTAATACATGTTAATAACCAACATTGAAATATCACAGTAATATTGTGGCAATATGATACGTCTAAAGTAGCAAAGTGACATTATAATTAATAACGCTTTTATGATGTTTTATTGACGTTAGAGACGTCATTAAGACGTTATTAAAATATCACAAAATTATACGTACACACACATAATTTTATAAGTGATATTTAGTTTATTATAACTTTTTCAGTTTATTATATTATTATATAGTGCCCGCCAAAAGTTTCGGGCCGGCTGAATATCTCGGAAAGTATGCATTTATGGGACAAATGTTTCAGACAAAAGTTGTAGGATTTAAAAAGATCTATTCACATCTATCACATCCGTTTGATCTTGGGTGGCGTCGCCAAGGTCAGATTGATATTTTAAATGGAATACTCTATTTTCTATGCCAACATTTAATAGCTGATGTCAAGAACTTTTCAAAATACTATAATAAAGTTATTTTTCATTAAGTCCTTTTCGAGTTATAAGGCTTGAAAGTTACAGTATCGCCGGCATTAGCATTACACAAGGTGTCCGACCAATAACAGTGTGTATACATCATGCATACACACCGCTATTTTTGGAAGAGTGAGATAGCCTATACTTCTTTCTCACTTGGAAAAATTTGACGAAATCCTTATGGCCAGTCTCTGATTAAAGAGTCTCTAGCGGTACAAATACCGCTCGGAATTTTTCAAAGTCAATTTTCTCGACAATGGCTGAGAATTGCATCTTACTACTTGGCCAAAGTAATGTCTGAGTGATACACTTCACGTACCATAAGTTTTAAATTTTTCTAAATTCCGAACGTTTGAGCCTCTTCTTGTAAGAATTTATTTGTACGTAAAAATGGAAATAAGACATACAATCTCCAATAACTTTGATCTTGACAAATGTTTCCCAGAACATTATTCTGAACAACATTCAAGAGGTTTTAGCCATCGATCGGATACCTTGCGTAACGCTAATGCCGGCGATACTGTAACTTTCAAGCCTTATAACTCGAAAAGGACTTAATGAAAAATAACTTTATTATAGTATTTTGAAAAGCTCTTGACATCAGCTATTAAATGTTGGCCAGTCTCTGATTATAGGGTCTCTAGTAACTGCTGGATCACTCGAATCTGCTGGCACTTTCTTTCTCCCTTTTTTTTTATTTTAATATTTGTTATTTCTATGTAAAATCAATCAAATTTATTGTAATCAATGGATATTCAATATAAATCTTTTCTGAAAAACGCACATTTTATTTACAATGTAACGAATATATGATAAATAAAATCTAATACAACGAGAGCGGGCAAACATTAAACACGTTCTTTTTTTGTGTTAAAGTTTATTTTTTGTGTTCTCTCTCATTATGTTGATTTCATTTTTTGGTTAATTTTGTAATTTAACTTGAAATTTTTATATATTTTTGAATGTAATCTGGAACACAAAATTCTCGAAAACATTTAATTCTCGGAATCACAAGAGAAATTTGGTACTGTGACAATTTCAATGCGGTCATTTGAACCCTCAAGTCGATCACTTCCGCAGGTAATAGTATAGATCGAACGAACGTACGAGGAATGAAAGAATGTATTCAAAAGATGTTGGGTAGACCTTGCGAAGAGATGGGGAAGGTGTAATAGAAACTCGTATAATAGTCGACCGTTCGACGTCGCATTCAATCATTTTTTACTTGCTTTCATTGCGTTGGATTTTATTTATCACATGTTTCCGTTACGTTGTAAATGAAATGTGCGTTTTTTCATAAAAGTTGATTGCTATAAATTTGATTGATTTTACATAGAAATAACATAGATATTAAAATAAAAAAAAGGGGGGGAAAAAGTGCCGGCACAGACTCGAACCAGCAATCCATCGGTTACTAGAGTCCTTAGAAGTGGAGAGTCTAGACATTCAGCGGAAGTGCTCTCAAAATGGCGACGAATATGTGTGTGTTCGCTTTTTGACGATCACAACGCTTTAAGTTGTTTCATCCTTGTTGTTTATTAAATATTAAACAAAGACAATTGATGCTCACAGCGTTGCAAGCGACCGCAGCCATAGTATGTATGTGTGTGTGTTTTGGTTGGCTGCTGCGTCATGTAACATGGTTTTTTTTATTAATAGGCATCAATTTGTGATAAGTAATAGTAATATATAATATCCCTAAATCAATATAAAAATTAAATACCGACAGTGATCTAGATCTGATTCTCGAGCATCAGTATCGCTTCATTAGGATCTGTGTCACAGTATGTTACAGTGCAATAGATATTATTATATATGTAAAACTAAAATAACATTAATTATTATATTATTAATAATACTAATCCTGTAAGGTTGTAAAACCTCCGGCCGAGATAATCCTTTTCGCAATACGTTCTTTACAAGTTTTAAGATGGGTTTCTTATTAAAATTTGCGGGAGATTATTAATATTTCGGATTAAATGTGTTGAAAGTCCGAAAATAATCGGCACGCAATCATATTTCTGACAATAAGATAAATTCATTGAAAGAATACATGGTTTAACATCTAACTTTGATTGAAAGTAGCGCTTCTCTCGTATTTAGGTGATATTTTCACATAAACGGTCTTAATTGTTTCTAATCTCACAATTAAATTAAATTAGATTAATTTACAATATCCAGTATAATGCGAAGAAATCATTATTTATAAAGAATGCTGCAGTTTTTTGAAAATAGACCAATGATAAATGAAAATTGAATTAAACTTATAAAATATAATATATCTATCTATATTAATTTAAAATATTTTGATATCATATAACATTCCAGTGTAATATAAGACGACGAATTAATATTATCTGCTGACTTGCAATTTACTCTTGCTGTTTATCTAACTATTGATATTTTTTATAAACTAGCAAAGTAGTTGATAATTAAAAAATAAGGTAAGCTCTCATGTAATCTGAAACACGTGAAACTAATCAAGATTTTAAAGGTCCTAAAATTGAACAGAATGCAGTAAAAAATTTATACCATTATTGTCATTTTCATATAGACTACCGAGTCTCCAAGATCTATAGCTGACGTCATTTAATTTTAAGTTCTCCTTCTCTTGATTCTTCGTTTGCAGAGGCGCACTTTTGACCTCTTTGCCTGCGAAAAAATATTTTAAATACCTATCCATTTTTGTCCTAGATAGCGATTTAAGAATAAATACTCTCATGTTCTTCGCTGGATTTCTATTTTCTTCGTATATTATTTATAAGCTGATGCTTCAACATTTATACGATATTTAAATATTCTTCTTGCATAATTTTAGATACTTATTAAACAATCTTTAAGTTTTATCTCCTTACATAGGCTGTACGGCTGTTGTATGATAATTGTATGAATAATGCGGCGGATAAATGTAATATGAAAGAAAATAAATTATACGTTTTTAGCAATAATACTAGGAAATTTTTATGCATTGTTAGCTAATTGACGTATTTAATTGTACAACGTTAGAGAAAAAACGAAAGAAATAATATTTATCCAGGTATATAATATACATATGTATATCAATTGCATACAAGCCAATTACGCACAAGCCAATCGTAGCGCTAAAATAAAAAAAAAATCAATATATATAAAAACTCCCCACGTAGAAGTCGCTATGATTGGCAGTGGACCATTGCAACAGTGTGCAAGTGAACTCCCTCTCTAGGTGAGATTGTACATGTCAAGTATTTTACATTGGGAACAACTATATAATTATCTTTGTTTGGCGACACATATTTAATGATGTTAATTTTATTCTTAAACATTATTTATTGATCTAAAATATTTTAGAAAACTGTTTGCGAATAATTAAATATCCCAGTCAGAAATAGTTCCTCGAAAAGACGTCGTTTCGATGTCGAAGATAAAAGTCGAAAATTTTCGAAATTGTTATTGATTTCGACGGATTTTTGACTCCAATTTCGATTAATTTTCGAATTGGAAATAAAATTTTGAATTGGTCTAGCCCGCATAAATATATACTACTAGTGTCACTAATGCAATAAGTAAATTTGACTAATAGTGTCACTAATAGTGTAATAGTGGTGGAGAAAATTTCATCAAAATTTCATTGAAATTTTATTGTGAAAATAAGTATTATTGATTAGCATCATATTTTAGAGAATACACGACAAAATTATAATAAAAAAAAAATTTCCTTTATGAATTCGAGAACTAATTTTATGATGCACCCATGCGCGGTCACCCATCCGTATCCGAACCTCTTACTACGCTTGATTTTTGTGATCGTACGGGAACTGCTCCTTCGAAGAACCATGAACACCTATAATGCTAATGGACGTATAGTTGTAACATATCTGGTCAAAGATGTTGTGAAAGAGGTGGAACACATAGAAAAAATAATTAATGTTAAATATAATAGTAATGTACAAATGATGATACCTATGATAATAACTTGTTTTTAATAATACTGTAAAATATTATTTTTATTAGCTGAAATAATACTAATTGCTCTAATAATATATGTGTATTTTTTACTCTAATAAATTTTTTATACCAAATATTACAATTACTGGAAATAGTTCTATATGTTACGTCATATGTCGTCATATACAATACTGCTACAGTAGTAACACTATTAGCCCAGCATTGACACTATTGCGTATCAGTAATAATACTACTGCAGTAGCAATGACACTAGTAGTATATTTTTATACTTCCAAATGATATTGGAAACTTGTATGATAGATCAACATTTAAATTTCATTAATTTAAAAATCGAGATCATTTCGATATCGATTCGAGCTAGAATTAGTCTAACTAGAATTAAATAGAGTCGATGATATTTTTCCTTGATTTTATGCTCATTTATGGTAAGAGACAGCTAATAGGTTGACAGCATTTATGGTAGAGACATTATTCTCTGAAATTCTTCAATACAAAAGTGACGCGCGTAATAAGATTATATTAAATAAACTAGTACGAAGTACAAATAAAAATAATGTTATTTATCAGGGGTAGAACTGTTGCGTTCAGTGGACTCCACGATTTCTTCGTTTCGCGACCGTTCGATTATAAAGTAACAATTTGTATAACAAAATTTTCTAAAAAATTATAAAATTATTTAGAAATTCTGAAAAATTTTGAGAAAGCTTTTATGATTAGAGCGATATTGCAATTGTCGAAATGAAATCGAAAAAAATGTCGATCCGATCTTTGAATGAAAATATTCAAAATATAAGATTACGTATCACATATTTACACCAAAAATATTAAAAATGTATCAAACTCTCATTATATTCTCTACATAAATTCTCTACGTAATTTTTTATCACTCGAAAATGTTGAAATTTCGGTCGCAAGTTTCGAATCGACAACTTTTCTATCGAAACGACGTTGAAACGACGTCTTTTCGAGAAACTATTTCTGACTGGGATATTTAACATAAAAAGAATTAAGTCGAGTATTTTATGATTATACTTACTTTGTTTTCTGAAGCATTCATAGCCGATACAACCGGGCATGAGAAAACAGACGAACAGGAGCAACGCGATCAGGATGATTCCTACTCCTATCACAATTATAATTAACAGGCCCCACGGGCCTAAAAAATCTTCGTGTAACATTCAATGAAAATCACTGAAATTTTCGAATTCAAAGTTACTTACATCGATTATAGGTAGAGAATGGAAAGGTACTTTTTAAAAGTAACAACCCTTACGGAAAGAAACTGCTAGTGCATAATAGTGCATAGTAGTGATGTGCACGTTAAAGCCACCGCCTTGTTGAAAATTCTTGTAAGTTTTTTGTACCAAATCTTAAAAGAGTTGTATGTGATCAATCAAAATTACTAAATGAACGTACATGAACATATAAGAATCTTATATAATTTGTATATGAATCTCACCAGTAATCTTTAATGACCTAGGAATCTAAAATGAATCGTACACAACAATTTATATCGCAATGAAAAGAGCTTGGCTTAACCTTATAAGAAACTTTTAAAAAGTAGTTTCTTTACAGGATCATCTAAGAATATGGTATTAATTATATATGATTTATATTATATATGATTCTAAAGTGTTTCATGAAAGATTATTTATCAGTATTAAAAGACATAGTTACGAAATAATTTATTTTCCAAGTTGATACAAGAATCTGGCATGAATCGTACACGATGATTTATATCGCAATGAAAAAATATTGCCTTAACTTTATAAGAAATTCTTAAAAAATATTATAATTTCTTTACAGAGAGGATCATCCAAGAATATGATATTAATTATGTATGAAGCCTAATAAGATACTTTTAAGAAATAATTTCTTTACGCTCCAAAGTAATAATAAAGATATCGATCATCCCAGTAAACGAAATGGAATTATTAAATGAACAGGAACTGGATTGAATATATGAAATGAAAAAGAATGAAGAAAAATTAAAAAATTTGTTAGAATACTGAAGATGACTGAATATATTATCACTATCTTAATGAATTGATAAATTATAATTTCGCTATAATAACTGGCATAGGCTTTTTATGCTCCTTTCCCAAATTAAGTTTGATTTCGTCGAAAAGCCGTTATTCAATTTGTGTAAAAAGAATTAATTTTTAGTCAAAATGAATTCTTTTAAATCCCATTCAACTCCTTACTTGTCTGTTTTATTTACTAGGATATGAGCAATAAATCACACAAAATTCCAATAGTACTTTTGGAATATTTTCATAATGACACTCCAGTTATATTCTTGCAAGATTGAAGTTACATGCGCGCAAGATTCACGTAATCTGCGCGCAAGATTCATGTAACATGCGTGTAAAAGTCGTGTAACATGTTTATAAGATTCATGTAACATGGGTGTAAGATTCATGCAAGATTCTTGATTTACCTATAGATATTGTATGCAATATATTCTGATACGATCTTATATGTTCCTGTCTGAAATTCGTATGTGAAAATTTTCTTGGAAGATCTCACAAGAATTTTTCTGTTTGCAACAGGGCGTACACAAAAAATAACGTACAGATATGTTTATAAAGAAATCGATTAAATCGTGAAATACTCGATACATTTTATTGTACTATCAAATAAAATATGTATTTCATAATTCGAAATATTTGCATTTCACTTTTATATTCAAATTAAATCAGTACAACGGCTTTAATATGCATCAGTGCACATTAGTGCTTCCAATCGAATTCGCCATAATACTTGAATGTCTTTTAGATATGTTGTAGGGGAGAGTGTTCTGAGTGATTTCCCGCAAAAATTAAGTTGGGAACGACATTGGTTTAGGAGATATAGTAAATTAAAGTTCCATATAGTATGTCCCATACGTATGCACAGAAACTTGCAGTAACATTTCTGCAATGTTACTGAGACATATTATGGAACTTTAATTTACTATATCTCCTAAACCAACGCCGTCCCCAACTTAATTCTTGCGGTAAATCACTCAGAACACTCTCCCCTACAACATATCTAAAAGACACTCAAAAGGTGAGATGATAACCCAAAGTATACATTTACTAAATTAGTTTATCGATCCCCTACATGCTCACGAAGTTTGGCCAGTTAAATTCGGGACATCAAGTATATGCATATCCAGTTCTACGAACTACACGCCCAATAAATTTTCGACCTTGAAATACAATCTAATTGAGGTGATATTTTTCATAATAAATTTTGTAGTACATAGCATTATTTTCATCAAAGTTGAAGATCAGTATTCGTAAAATTTATTCTTATGATGAAACAGCTTGTGATTAGGTACATTGTACTGAGTGTTCAGTGAGCGGTTGTCGTTCTGAATGCACGCATTGATTTATGTGTGCGCATGACATTTTTAAGATGTCATAAACCAATCACAGAGCTGCACTAGCATCTTCCTCTACAGCACAAAATATTGCAGCAATATTTCAATAGTGCGTAATATTATAAAAAATGCAGCAATATTGAAATTTTAATATTTTATTAGAAATCTTGCAACAATATTGCAAAATATTGTAATTTTAATATTTTGTAGAAAATATTGCAATATATTGTGTGTGTGTGTGTGTGTGTGTGTGTGTGTGTGTGTGTGTGTGTGTGTGTGTGTGTGTGTGTGTGTGTGTTGCAATATTACAATTCAGTAAATAAGTACGCGGCTCCGCCACAAGAGGGATACACTTCTCGTAAGAAAAAAATGTCCAGGAGTTTTATCTTTTTTAAGAAGTATGCAAATCGAGTTAACGAGCCTCCTGGAAATTCCCAACTTTTTTTGGATGTGCTTTCTAGGCCCCCGAATATTTTTTTATCATAACTTTATCGTATGTATTTTGGGATATAATGCTAAGCAATAAGATGTTAATAATTAATAAAACTGGAATAATGATTGAAATATTGTATAATGTTCTAATAATATGTATGTGCAATATTTCTCTAAATATTGCAGCAATATTTCATTTTTGCGGACATAGGAATATTGCTACAATATCGCAGCAATGTTTTATGAAATATTGCAATCTTTCGAAATAATATTGCTGCAATATTCCTGCAATTTCGTGCTGTAGAGATTACTTAAAACGCTCTTGATGTAAATTGTAAGAACGGATTATGAATATTGTGGCCAAAGATTGAATATCGAATATATAAAAAGTATCTATGCGTTCCTCGCCCTGATGAAGTGAACGGTTTATGAAACGTTGGCATTAGCAATGGATCATGACACGACGACCGCAAATAACCCGCAAACTGTGTGACTTTTCTATAAAAAATTATGTTATAAATATTCAATATATAAAATTATGTTATAAATAAGGTAAAATTACTAATTGTGGATCACTCTTTAAAAAAAAATTCATATTTGTGTATCCAGAACAATATTAAACAATTAATAAAATATTTAATAGTCATGATTGATCATAAAAATTATGAATGATTTTATTGCATTTTATTATCGTTTTATATATTTCAATTTGAATTAAATAAAGTAATGTCAATTATCCACAATTAGACCCCATGTATTAATTGCGGATCAATTCACCAAATGCTTTACCCTTTTTGGTTACTACATTCCATAAGAATAATAAAAATGATTTGCGCATGCATATCGTAGTATATATAACGAAATTATAATTGATGATCCATATCTATTGTAGTTCTAGGGTCTAATTGTGGATAATGATGCAATTTTAACACATTCAAGTTTATTTAAAATTAGTGACAATTAAAAATCAATGATAGTTAAAAAAATTGATGAAAATTTAAAAAAATTTAATAAAAAATAAAATTTAATAAAAAAAACAGTCAAATTACAAATAGTAACATTTTTTGCATATAGACATGTATACTATTTTATATTCTATTTTAATACCTAAAACAAATCTTTTCGGAATGGCATCATTTGTAAGATTTGGCAAGTTTTTAAACATTTTTATAATAAATTTACGCAAAAAAGTAACGTTATAACATGGTGATTAAACAACACCCGCGGACACATTTAATCTCAATTGAACATAACGTTGACTTTTTCCATGAAATCTAATTCTATTTACTACCTACTATATAAAAGCCATAAAGAATCCTTATGATTAGGGCAACCAAAATATGTATATACATTTTTTTTATTTGACTACAGAAATAAACTGAATACAAATTTATTTCATAAGAAATTATGCATTTTGAGCCCTATATATTACAGTATATTTTTGCATATGGTATTTCGCCCACACGTGCACAATATTTACATATTTTATCTATTTTTATTGTATATTTCACATCGTTTTCTAATTTTATAATTACGTTACTATAAGTAAAAAACTTAATTAATATTTTGAAAATTTGTGCGATAAAAAGTAATTTTCAAATGCTATATTCCTTTCTTTAGAACATGTTTTCAATTTCACAGAGCATATTTTAGGCGCTTAAAAAGGGTTTTTTTACAGCATAATTTTGGTTGCCCTACTTATGATATTACTCTTTGAATGAATTCTTAAAGATATATACGTTAGTTAACCTCGCACATTTAATTAGTTAACGACATCAATAAAATGTGTATAAGCGCCGTTCCTAAAAAATTAAATTCAATTGACACTTGAAAGAGATAAAATAAATGCTAAAAGATCTTGTGATATGTACCATTTAATGAAAAATGTTATAATTATGTAAATGTAAAAAGTGATCCGGAATTAGCCTGATTCACATGTAGTGGTTTTACCCTATTCAAAGTTAAGGTAAAAAAAGTAACGATAAAAAATCGTAAAATTCATTACTATGAAAAAAATGTAACTCGTTACCATTACAATTACTAAAAACGAAAGATATAACGTTACTAAAATAAGTTTGTTAGCAAAAAAAGATAACTTGTAACGGTAACGACGTTACAAGTAACGCGTTACTTTCATTCCCTAATTGTTGGTAAACTGATCGTAACAGAGACATGTGATGAAACGCAAAGACGGCTGATGTCTTGAGCAAATTTCCTCGCCGAACACAGATATATACGTTTTAATTGATTTATTATAAAAATACTTAATATTTAATTAACGTTTTATCTAAAAGATTACTAAATAATATTATGTAAATAGCAAGAAAATAGAAGTTATATCAAGTGGAACACTATTCATGTTGAAACACTTACGAAATGTCCACGTCTCGTATTCGTTACTACTACATTTGCTGATATGTCTCTTACGACATAGACTATAGAGATGTAAAAAATAAATCGCTTTAATGTACACACATCAGCACACATTGACACATTAGATAGAAAACACCTGTGTTACCAATAATTCTCGGCTATGTCCGAACAAAAATTGGCGAAACAAATTATGACAATGTTCGATGATAAAGAAACACCGTCAAAACACATTGGAAAATTTATATTCACATTTCATTTTCATTAAATAATTGATCGAAAAAATAATGATTTGAAATAGAGTATTCCAAGACAATTATGTTTTTTCTCAACAAAAAGTTGAAAGAGATTATTTAATGCAAATTTTTAGACATTTCGTGTCATATACTTTTTTTCGTAACTAACATCTAAAAAAAATTTAAGAGATTACGTTTAGCTTTTCCATTAAATTTATTTTAAGATTAATTTTGCTTGGAAATAATACAAGAATAATTATAGCATCTTGGACTTTCGCATTATCACGCGTAAAAAGTATTTACTACGTATATACTAACTTCGCAAAAATAACACTACAAATAATGAGTTTCATGTGAGGAAGCGAAGTCCAGTGCCGGAATCAACGTAATAACGTTCGTAACAATTATAACTACAATCGGGACTTTCGGAACATATGCTTCATAACAAGCACGTATACCATCCTGCGTATCTCGTATTACAGGTCTCACATTACACATACACAAACGTTAATTCCGATAATACTTAATATCAACATACTGAACATTATCTGAGATATTCAATGACATGAGCTACATGAGTGATTATATTTGCTTTTTAAAATTGTGTTGGTACAGAGTATTGCAACTTCAAATTACGTCATTAACCTTGTAACATTGGTATTCCTAAATTTTATTTTATCGAGTAATTTTGAATCTACTACAATTCATTAAAAAATGCTCGATTTGCAAGTGTTACTTACCAACATCGCCTATGATGGATGATCTGAATTCAATTATCGATTACTTTTTGCAAGTATTTACACGATACTCGCTTAATCATGTTGCAATCCTATAGTGATGAATTCGTAATTTGCGTTTATACACTCGCGAGCGCAAATTTGCGATTGCACTTTATTCGGTAACTGACTTAATCGATTAAATGCTCCATTCTGCTTCGTAAGCACAGACGTACGTGGCCATTTGCGTCCTCACAATCAGTCAAGTGAACAAATGCGTATACGTCAAGACAAAGATAGGCGTTCCCCTTAGGAGGTTCTACGCCTCTGACGTTGCCGATAGTTCGCGGGTAGATGAGTAATACGCTGCGTTGGCTATTTCAATTAGAGATATAGGACGATACTTACGACTACACATTTGCAATTTTATACCAAGAATTCAATATATAGCTACTAAATATTTTTATCTTTCGTAGAAATAGTTTTCAATCTTCCCCGTAGCAGTATTTTTTAATTTAATTGCTACTAATCAATTTTTTTAATCATAATGAATAGTGAAAAATCGATATAGCGAAAAATTAAACATAAAATAAAATGCTAGAAATTATTTGATTTTTAATTTAACTTGCACGTAAAAGAGATCATATTAAATAACTTCAATGTATGTATATATGTTTAGAAAAACAAGAGATATATAGAAGATTGTCGTTAAAATATTATATTATAATTTAGTATTAAATTTTTATATTTGTATAAGTTCGCCAATTTTATTACAAATTTTTTTGCGAAATTACGTACTTTTGTTTTATTTATCTGCAATACTCCAGGATTGGAAAAACTTACAATCAGTTTTAGAAACAATAGTACTGTTTAATAATATTTGTATAACACACTATTAAACAAAAAATTATTTTTGTTCAAGCCTTTAAGTATAAGAAAGTAACACTTTCTATAATCTTTTAGGTACTGAATACAATTCTGTTTACTGCAGTATCACTTTACAAGTGAAAGAGAAATTTTCGGTTAATGTTAAGAAGAACTATTTTAGTGTATATATTTAGCATATTATTATAATCACATGAGAAAAAATCTATTAACAGCATTAGCTAACAATATAATGTAATTAAAAAATAACCTTGTAAATTTTCAATAACAGTATTAATAAAAAAAATGCATCATACTCTTGTTTTAGTAAAATACTACATGTTTTATTATTATTGCTAGTGAATTAACAAAATTATTATTCAAATATATTGATGTAAATACAATGTCTTAGCGCCGAGACACTACCGTCTCCAGATATCTTTTTTCATGTATGATATGTGACATGAGAGAAATTTCTATTGCAATTAAAATCAAATTTATGCTATTAGAACTTGTAATCCTTAAAAAAATGTGTTCTGTTAAACTGTTTGTGGTAAAAAGTATAAAAGATATTTATGATTAATGTAAGTTCTATTATAATTGTCAATGTAAAAGTAATTATGACGCAACAAATTCTAGTAGAGAACAACAAAAGTCATTATGATATCCAAATGATGTCAAAATGACTCTAAAATGATCATTAAAAGTCATTTTTCAATCATTTCCAATTCATTTTAACATCATTTTGACGTTATTATGATTTGTTGTACTGCTTGGTTTATTAATTATAAAAATCTTTTTTTTAAAAATCGTGTCATTATGAGGTTACATCAAAATTTTTCAGGTGATACTTAATAGTATCATGGTTTAATATTAATGACAAATATATGTCATATTTATTATATTCTAAAAAAGCCGTACATGTTTGTATCATATGTTGCTTTGAAGGACTCAAATGTGAATGTATGCCTGTATGTATGTGTATGAGGAAACCACATGCTCTCTCTACTACTGATAACGTATACAAAAACATGAATATGCGCATTTTATGACGGAACTTAAATGTCGAAAAATATATACAGGATTCCCTGGTGAAAAAGTGTCTAAAAGTTTCGCTGCAAATGCTTGAAAACATTTTTCAGAGATTCAATAACATTCAGAGACTTTCTCAAGAAAATTCAGCGATTATCAGCGATCTTTTCTCTGAAAATTATTCAAGTGTCTGAAAGTTTTTGAATTTCACTGAAACTCGAGAATTTAATAATGTCTCTAAGGACTGAAAATAGAATTTTCACGGCTTTTCACTTTTCAGAGACTTTTAGCAAATTCTCTGAAAATAATTTCCAAATGTCTAAAAGTCGCTGATACTCGGGAACTCAATAATATCTCTGAAGATAGAATTTTCATAGTTTCTCGCTTTTCAGAAGCTTTCAGCGATTTCTTTGAAAATCATTTTCAATAGGGTCTAAAAGTCCCTGAATTTTTTGGGAATTCAGTAATGTCTCTAAAATTTAGTACTAGTTTAGTTCAGTTCAGTTCAGTTTTCAGATGTTCAATGCAATTCTCGTGCAGAAACAGAAAACAAACTTAAAAGGTTTGCGCTACTTTGGTATATCTAAAGCTTTACTATCTTTTTTATCGATTTTGATAAAATTAGGCTCATACTAGGTATATATTCGATGCGTTTTTGCGCGAAATGGACGAATCCGGCAAAAAAAGTGTCGCTCTGCCTCGTGAACCGAGATATTAATCGTTGAAGTTAACGACTATTCAGGTTAGGAAATCTGTCACGGTATAGAGGATTATACAAATTCTTCTCTTTAAAAACACAAATTATTTTCTATATGATTTTTGTTTTTACAGTAGCGAATTGTTATTAAAAGCGGAGAATTTTTGTTTTAAAGCAGAGAATTTGTGTTTTTAAAGCAGACAAATACCCAACCAAAATAAGGCCTCTGCAGTAAAAACAAAAATTACATAGAAAATAATTTGTGTTTATAAAACAGAATTTATCCCAGAGTAAACACAATGTTAAATACATGTAACGTACAACAAGATAACTGTAATATAACACACTGTGTTATATTAACACAGTGTGTTATATTACAGTTATCTTATTGAGCTGACATTTCATGTTACATGTAAGTTACATGTAACATCTGGAGACACGGTAGTGTCTTGGCGCTAAGTCAAGCGCAGCCACACTGCCGTGCCTCCTTTACGCGAACCGGCGAGTTGCCACAGACTGAGACTATCGGATCTCAGAACGGCTGAACTGATCAAGTTCCATATACGCTCAATCGATAGCCACCGCTTGGATTGTATAATAAAAGTGCTTTTATTTTTTTTCTACGTGCCCTACAAGCGGAGATATTGCGACGTAAAGTTCTAAATGTCTGAATTTGAGATCATCGTTTTTTTTTTTAAGATACATTGTCGTTATTGTTATTAATATCGTCGATCGCTCAGAATGTACGGTTCGGTTTTTCGATAATAGATGACTTTTGATTTAACCAGCAGACCAGCGTTGGCAGCATTGCACATTCGCACGTGATCAACATCAACCACACATGACGGCTGTGATGTACGCAGCGCACATTAAAATGAAACATCGAGATCGTCATCGAGAAATTGAATGTCTAGGTGTTGACTGTCGTATTCGCTGTCGAGGATTAAGTATCTAGATGTTATCTGCGTGTTCGTCGTCGAGGAATTCAATATCTAAGTGTTGTCTGTCGTATTCGCTGTTGAGGATTAAGTGTCTAGGTGTTGTCCACATATGTTCACCGTCGAGGAAGTCGGTGTCTAGATGTTCGCCGTCGAGGAAGTGGGTGTCTAGGTGTTCGCCATCGAGAAACTAAATGTCACAGATGGTTTTGTAATCAAAATGTGATCGAATTTGCTGCCAATTTGCGCGCAAATTGCTAACATTTTGCTATTAGGATGATTAAAATATGACTAAATTGATATTTCAGTGAAATAATATTGTCAACGAAAAGATAAAACTAAAAGACGACAGATGTCGCACTCCTAGTCATCTTTATGGCAGTCACCAAGCTCTTTTTGACCAACTTCGAAGATTCGGAGATTAATGCCTCAATTCTAAGCAGAATGGTAAGGTTCGTAACATATTCCTGTAAGACTTGCAAGAATTTTTAAGTGCTTATATCTTTATACAATATTTTTAAAAACAGCTTCTTACTAGGCATAAAATTTATAAGAAATCGTAGATATTTACGAGTAATCGTACGTCTAACAACACATACACATAAAATTAGAATATTAGTCATAAGTTCTTACAAGTCTTACGAGAACACATTACGAGTCTTACAATTTTGTTTAGAATAATAATTCTAGTATCACATCCATATTTATTTCATTTCATTCAAACACATACATTCACTTATCACGATGTATCCTAGATTTAAATTTTTTGTAAAGATCAATATTCACATAGATACCAAAATACATAACAACAGATAAAAAAAACTTTCAATAAACATTTATTCACTTTTTGTCAACATTACATCAACATCTTATCATTTTCCTCCAATAAAGTTTATATTGAAAAGTTGGAAACTCTAGTCATTTACTAGCAAGTACCCACAAATTGATGAGTATGATGTGATTTTTAAATCGGAATGATTTCAAGTCGCAGGATTAAAAAAAAAGAAAAAATCCATGCTGATTCTTTTGGAGATCCAGCCATTCCAGCGTTTCTTCTGCGGACGTACCCCTTCACATCATGCCTGTAGATAGGACTCCTATCGTAGCTCCGGAAACATCTATAACATTGCTTAGTGAGGTATCAACTCTTCGTGTTACTGAATCAGAAGGGCCTAACTTACTGAGCACTGGACCACATCTATTCGATGAGCCAAGCCAAATTGATTCTAATGAGTTTCGCCTTATTAAGCTTCCAACATTCTGGCACAAACATCCGAAACTCTAGTTTACTTAATTAGAAAGTGAATTTCATGCATATAAAATTCATTCTGACTCAGTCAAGCTTAATTCGAATCTCCGTCATTTGGATAAAGAAGTGTTTATAACAGTATCAGATGTCATTGAAAATTTATCTGAAACAGATAAATATACTCATTCAAAAACTGCATTAAATTTATTAATCAATTTTTAATCAATTAAGCTTATTAATAAATTTACTGATTTGAAAAAAAAATTCAGATAACTTTCAGCTTGGAGCTTAATGACAAGAAACCTACATATTCGTTGCGTAAAATCAAACAACTAGCTGGTGGCACTATATCAGATAACGTTTCGCACTCTATTTGGCTACGAAAATTATCTCTTAAAGTGCATTCAGATGCAAGCATCAAGCGTCGAGCAGCGGAAGCAGCAACCAATCAGTGAGGCGATACGGACAGTGGCGTAAAAATATTTTTGACGCTTGCATCTAAATGCACCTTTAGAGTTCAAGCAACTCTTGCAATCGTTGAAGATATCCCGTTAAATAAATTAACTGAATTAGCTGACAAAATTTTGGAACGCGATAATGATTTTTCATTTGGTCAATCCATTGCTGAAGTTGCAAAATCTGATACTCCGACGTCTAATTTAGCTAAACGGAGGATTTTATCTCTTGAAGTTAAACTGTTCACATCGTTATATTTAAGTTCACGCAGCAAGTCACGCTCTAATTTTTACCGAAGAAGGAATTTTAGATCAAAGTCAAGAAATAAATCTGACTCATCTGATTCCGAAGTTTGTTATTATCATAAAAGATTCAATTCAAAAGCAATTAAATTTACCATATCTTGTTCTATGTACAAAACGTTGGCCTTGATTGCTAAGCAGAAAACTAAATTTACCGTTAAGTGTTGAGGCGTCAAACAACGATCCTGCTAACAATCGCCTTATTTTCACAGATAAAACCTCTGGACTGTACTTTTTATAATGGATACAAGGACTAACTTTTTCTTATTTCTAGAAAATTTTGGCGAAATTTATTATCAGCTTCTATTAAACTTTATGCTGCTAATGGTTTTATGATGAATACTTATGGTATACAATACTCTAAATTTTTAACTTCAAATTTTGAGCTGTGAAGTCCTAAATGAAAATTTTGTATTGCACGTTTCACATTTCCTATTTTGAGTGCGGATTTCCTTAATTATTTTAGTCTACTTGATTACTTTGGTCTATTGATGTTATAAATAAGCGTCTTAAGCTGATATTACATTTGTCGTACGACAAAGCATTTCAAGCCTATTGATTGGCTACAAAAAAGAGAAGTTGTCGGATCTCTCTATTCTATAGCCAATCAATAAACTTAAAATTTTTATCGTATTACGATAAATGTAATACCAGTCTTATTGATAACGTTACTGGTTTGACGCGTTTTAGAAGAATTTCTGTAGTAGGTCATTTTATGGTTCGTACATCATCCAATTCTACATACCAAAAACTTTTAGCTTGAATTTTCGAATCTTACGAGTTTCGCACCAATTTTTACCGTTAAAAGTTATAGTATTGAACATCATATCTTAACTGGAGGTCAGGCAATTTTCTGTAGTCCCCGAAGATTGTCCCCCGAGAAATTAAGATTCGTTAAAACCGAATTAACTTTAACGTATAATGATCAACCTGACTAAGACTCCTTATAAATCAGAAAACAAGGAAAGAACAAGGGCGATAGGAGTCAAGCGCGGGAGACGTTGCGCAAATAACACGACTATCGTAGCGTAAAACTTCTTTATTTTACTAAAGCGCTAAGTAAAATAAAGCGCTTTAGTAAAATAAAGAAGTTTTACGCTACGATAGTCGTGTTATTTGCTCAACGTCTCCCGCGCTTGACTCCTATCGCCCTTGTTCTTTCCTTGTTTTCCGAATTAACTTTTATGATGGAACAAGGCATCTGTCAATCTTCTAGCAGCACCTGGGTAGCACCACTTCATATGGTTCTTAGACCAGATAATTCGTATATGGAGATTAACATGCATTGAATGCGGTCACTGTTCCTGATAGATATCCATACATTCAAGATTTTACAATGGGACTCCATAGTAAGAATATTTTCTCCAAGATCGATCTTGTCAAAATGTATTAACAAGTTTCTATGGCGAAAAAAGATATTCATAAAATTGTCATTATAACTCCTTTTGGCCTTTTTGAATGTTTAATATAATGCCCTTTGGTCTACATAACGCTTCTCAACTTTTCAACGTTTAATGAATAATATATTAAAAGACCTAGACCATCCGATCTCCTTTTGTCAAATATTAAGTTGTAAACAAATAGCTATTGACATCGAATAGATCCAGATTATCATTATCATTTCCTAGCTTAATTAGTTAACAAATATCAGCATATAATTCGTTTCCATCCAATCTCCTTTTGTTAAATATTAGGTTATGAACAAATGGAGATCGAGATCGAATAGATCGCTTTGTCATTATCATCTTCTAGGTTAGTTAATAAATATAATATATAATTTCGTTTCCGTTCAATCTCCTTTTGTTAAGGAGATCCTAAAGCGAAGCTCGAACTCCGACGAAGTCACTAGATGTCGCTGTTTTTCCAGCGCATCGACATGTCTTTATATACTACTACATCAATATCTTACGCAGTCGCACGTTCATATCAATTTTCGTATAACAAATTCGTCGCGATAAAGCGTTTAAGTGTAATTCGAAGAACTCGTCATTTGTTCGTGCAAACTACGTGTTTGTGGATCACTATTTCGTAAGTATAGGTTGCAAAATTTTCGTATCAAGCAAATGTTGTCACGACTTGACAGCTTGAGATGCCATGTTACACTAAGAAATGGTAAAAAATATATCAATTTCGAAATTTTTGGTCGTTCTCGGCATAAACTCCACCTCACAAACACATATTAATGCGTATGCTTTAATCCTGGAAAAGGATTTTCAAAATCTGTGAAAGAGAAAAAAAGCATTTGTTATACAAAAATTATATGATTTAATCATTAATACAGACGACTTTAGGATCCCCTTAAGTATTAACAAATGGAGATCGATTAAAAGACTTAGATTTTTGCTTTTATTACTTACAATTAGATGATATTTTAATCGCATCTAACAATGAATAATGAAGAGGAACATTTAAATACTTACGCATTATTTTTGAACGACTTCAACACAGTGGATTAACGATAAATATTTCTAAATGTCTTTTCGGCATTTTTGAACTCCTTTTTCTTAGATATTTAGTTTCTAGTCAGGGAACCAAGCCGACTTCTGTGAAAAAGTGAAAGCAATTGTTAATTATAAAAACCTAAGACCCTTCTTAAATTGAGACGATTTCATTATTAATTATTACAGAAGATGTCTTTAAAATGCTACTAATTATCAAGCTTTATACTTACAGAATTTCTCAAGGATAACAGGAAACGTGACAGAAGTTTAGTTCCCTCGATGAGTTCTTGAAACGGAAGAAGCCTTCAGTAATTGTAAGGAAGAACTATTGCAAATCACAACTTTAACTCATCCAGTTCCGTCCTTCTTATTCTAACCTGTAATGTTTCTGATATAGCAGTTGGTGCATTACTAGATCGATAGTTGATGGAATTAATATTGCCTTTTTCTCGAAAAAGTTAAATAATTCTCAACGTTCTTATAATACTTACTGAAAGTTTTCAGGAATTTATTATTTAGCCATTAAATATTTTAAATATTTTCAAAAGGGAGGATCCTGATTGACCACGGTTTGATTGAACACCATCAATCACAGCGGCCGGGTGCCTAGAGATTTTCTAGTCTTAATTGTTATGAGTTGCTCGTGTCCAATCGAACCATGTCCAATCTGATGCGATCTTTTCTGGAGGGATGTAAAATAATCATCAGAACTGGTCATAAACCATTAATTTATACTTTCCGTCAGAAATTGCGGATAAAGCAAATCCGACAACTTGATTTTATTGCTCAATTTTTCACAGATATAGAACATACCACCTTGATCAAAAAGTTCCCGGAATTACCACCAGGTGATGCTCTGAGTTAGCTGATTTGAGTTCTGTTTTTTTGGTTTCCAAAGGCGTTCGAAGTTTTAGGGAATCTTCTAAATTTTTTACTTTGACTCTCCCGCGTTATTCTGTATTAGTCCTGACTTAACCCGGTTTTTAAGTTTTAAGTCATAAGAAATTCACGAATCACAGTTAATTATTCTCCTCGCATCCGACTGTAATTGGTCAATTTCTTACGGCTTAAAATACCTATTGTAGATCCGGACTTACAATAGAAGTAGTAATCCTTAAGCTGTAAGAAACTGATCAATCACGATTGAATGTGAGGAGAATAATCGACTATATATGATTAGTCAATTTCTTACATTAACTTAGTACCACTAATGAACAATTGTGAAATAATCATTTGTTTATTATTCTGATCAACTTACATGCATTTTTTTATATGCATCCGGGATTTCAAGTGAAATGTTCGGAGTTTTTGACCGGTAAGTTCCAGTTTCGAAAAGTTTGATGTGGCAACCCTATTTCGTACGATCATAAAAGTCAAGATATGCTTGGATAGGTGAAAATTTGGAGAAACAGTCGTAAAGTCGAATTTCTTTCCCTGAATATACTTATTTTCTTTTATTATTAATTTGTCATGTATATTTAAGAATGTGTGATACTAATTAATAAAATTTATTTTAGCAATAAAACTGGATTAATTATACATGAAAATATTTTACTAGGTTAAAAAAAACATTTTAAAATAGTTTTATATAGTGATTTTAATCAATTATTATTTTTAACGTTTCCTACGAGGACACTTGTAACTGTTATTTTACGGAAAAACGTTTTTTCAACAGTTTCTCAACGCTTTCGTTCTACTCGGGATATTTGACCAGCTTTATAACTATCTTATTAAACCCGATTAAAGGTGTCGTATAAACATAATCAGTAACTCGGTGTTTCGCTATCGATATCTATGCGATATCATTTTATCATCACTTACACTTAGTAGGCGAGTATATAAAATTCTATGGTATAGCTGATAAAATAACTGTCACATTATTTATTATTCAGGTTCCCACGCGATAAAGTTTTTAGAATATTCTTTATAAAAATGCATGCCAATAAAAATATACATATGAGTATTTTATTTAAAAAAGAAAGAAGTGAAATAGTAGAACACGCGAAACTTTTCATTTGCATCTTTCGTATTTTTTATATTTCGCTCGATTTTACAAGCTTTATTATTATAGATAAGATTACGATTTAAAATGGATTTAGGATTAAAATTCATCAATGTATCAATCATATCTTGCACGAAATCATACAAAACAAATCGAATCCGTGAATGATTGAGAAACTGAGACAATTTTTTTAATAACTCTGATGAATACATTTAATTCTGTGGATCAAAATCACTGTAAAGTCCGTATCAGACTATGAATTGACTATTACAATTTTCCAGTTCTACTTCAATCAATCATGATAGGTTCGTTGCCAATCGTGATTGGCTGAAGTATCGGGCTGAAATACCAGACAACCGTTAATCATCAATCCGCAATCGGAGATAGGGACATAATGTCTTTAGTATTTAGCATTAATCAAATGTCTTTAGCAGAATATTTAAATTGTCAGAATACTTAAATTGTCGGAAATTAAACTGAAATATATTAAACAGTTGCTATGAAACTATTGTCTAATATAAAATTAATTAAAAATTTAATTAAAAAAGTTACAGAATAGGCCTACTGATTGGTTAAAATAAAACCAGAAAATCATCAATCATAATAGTCAACCTGTAATCTGAGTCGGGCTTAAAGACCCAGACACAATAAAAATCACAGGCAATAGAGATAAATTTCTAAAATCATATTTTAAATATTTCAATTCAACAAAGAATATATATCGTATCATTTGAAACATCTAAAATCTTTGACCGTTTATTGGCGTTTCCTATCATTTATGTTCTCATTTACACGGTCGTTCGTTAATTTTAGGAATAAATTTCCATCTCAGAATCCGTATATCAATTTAGCAGTTTCTGGTAGATTGAAATCTATATTCCAAGTTCCTGTTGCATGTATTTTTCATTGTGTCACGGACACAATTCTACCTAAATAGGACCTAAATCTCACAATTACGTCCGAAAAAATTCCTGTTGTGTACTGAATATATGAAGAATCATTAAAATTTCGTATAACAATTTAACGACTGTTCAATGTAGGCATACAAAACTAACAAATCTTGTAATTATATTGTATATTTGTAATCATTCGGTACAATCCCTCGATATATTTGTAAGCAGGAAAAAAGTACTCCTTGAATCGTTTTATTCAAAATATCTATTAATTAAGCCATTCAGTCTTTAGTCAATATGTTGAACTTCCATGACACATTGTACATTTAAAATAATAATAAACCGTTTATATAAATATATTGGTTTGTAGGTACGATATATAATATAAAATATAATAACATCATTATTAATAACTTTGGCATAAAAAATTGAATTAAATATAAACATGTTTAGCGTGATATGTAGCTTTGCTTTATTCTAAAGCATTGTAACAATGTATACAAAGTCTATCATTTTCGATGTTTTAACGACAACTTACAATTTCGCGCAGATTTTAAACAGGATTCTTATTACTCTAAGTATATTATCCAAATTTCAATTAATGTTGTCTTCTTAATGCAACTTATTTATTTGACCTGGCATAATAAACTTCGCACTTACTAAAAACAAGGTATGTATGAAATTAACACTCCGAACATTAAAAATAGTTCTAAACCAGAATTTCCGTTTCTTTTTGAAGAGACTAAAAGTTTCCTATAATTTGTAACAAGAGTTCCGCTTAATAATAATCTGAAACCTAAAATTAAAAAATAGAGTGATACTTTTTATTGATATTCAAAAGGTATTAAATTTCACATTGTCATTGAACAGAACTCTTATTAAATGTGTTTTTTATTCCTGCACTAGATTGCACTAGAACTTTTTTCGCTTTCGCCAAATATTAAACATACATATTTCGCTTTAAGTTCCAAAAGTGTACACTAGTTCAGCTACAAAAAACTAATCTGTTATAAATTATGAAAAACTCTTAGTCTTCAAAATAAAGCAAGAATCAAAACTATAAGACTTAATGTGTTAACTTCACACACACACACACAAAAACAAGCTCATTATAAAAGTCTTCAAAAAATCACAAAGATGCGCCGTAAATACGTATTATAGATATCAATTATCAAGACACATCGAGAAATCAATACACTCATTATGGATTACCCTGGTGAAAATTTGTTTTATAATTTTTATACGAATTGGAATATTTTTCAGAAATACTCAAAAATATTGGGAAAGTTTACATCTCTCAGAATTTTTCATACGTGTGAATTCTGAAATATTTCGAGATTTCTCATCCCATAATTTTAAAATTTTTTACATTTTATAACATTTCATCAGAAATTATACTTATAAAAGATCTAAGAAACTTTACGCCATTTCATAATTAACATACTTATATGAAAAATTCTGAGAAAAGATGTAGATTTTCTGAGAAGTGTTCCAATTCGTATAAAAAATGTGAGAAAGTTATAAAATTATATAGAAATTCTGAAAAATTATATGAAAAATTCTGAGAAAAATTTTCACCAAGGTTAGCATAGAAAAAAATTAAAAAATAAACGAAGAAAAAACAAAATGTAAACGACGCATTAAACATGTACAGTGGATCACAGAAAGTTTGCAACACTTTCTTCCATGGATTTTGAAATAGAGCGTGCTCACTGTGTGATTGGCTCTTATTCATAGATCTAACCAATTACATTCAACCACTCTACGATCTATGAGTAAGGCTGAGTTCCGAAATCTATCGAAAAAAGTGTTTCAACCTTTCTGTGGCTGTACACTCATCAGTTAAAAGATTGCAAGATTTATTTTTTGAAGGATTTCGGAACTTAGTCTTATATTTAGAGTGGTTGAACGTAAATAGTTAGATCCATCTGATCCATAAGTAAGAACCAATCGCTCGGTGAGCAGGTTGCATTCTGAAATCTATTGGAAAAAGTGTTGTAATCCTTTAGCTGATGAGTGTACAATTTAAACGTAAACATGAAAGTAAAAATACAATAATAAATTTTTGTTTGCACATCGATTGTTAGAACGAATCGCTGTTTAGATTGTTGATGTCTAGATAATTGATGTCCATTATATATGTATAAATGTATCGGTTCTAAATTAGTTCAGTATAGAACGCAATATAATAATATAATTTTAATAAATCAGTAAAAGCAACCTTATTATCATAAAAATGTTACATAAATTTACTTAGAACTAGATCTTACTAGGTCACTAGCAATTTTGCATTTTGCTTGCAATCCAATAAGTAAAAGATAAATAGATACAACGAAAATTATACCTGGGACATTGTTTGTCAAGGCAGCCACTCACCGTTCCAAAATTGTACTTGCCCTGGTGAAAATAAAAATCGGAGCGTAAGTCGAATGTAATGGGAGAGTAATAGAAGCGTAAACGAAGCTTCTAGGAGGCGAAAAAT